TAGAGACATTGACCGCGCTCAACAGACATTCACGAGAAGCCTGAAGAAGAACACAAAATAAGTTGTTTAGCACACGATATGCACTGGGGATTGCCAAGGGTAGAGGAAAAGAAAACACAAAGGGCTTGATACAGACAAGAGATCCAGAAAGAAAGAAACAGTCAGGAGAGAATACAGAGCTGGGAACAGCGAATAACGCACGGAAGTACGCGAGGGGATGCATAAAGAAGGAACAGGCGGGGAAACGGAGACAAACAGGAACAGGGAGACAGTGAAGGAACACAACCACACACTGGAGCATTCAAAGAGAAGCAAACAACAAAGACTATCTACTGAAATGCCGTACATCGCTCAAAGACCGCCAGGCCGGTAAAAGTCCTTCAATCAACTCCTCGTACCCAACCACCCAGCAGCGAGGGCCACTGCTGCTGCTGCTGCTGTTGCTGCTGCTGGGGCTTGTTCCACCACTGCCGACCCCACGGTCCCTAGCGTCAGCTAGAACGGGAGAGTGATGCAACAGCGGCTTCAGCTGCTGCACGGTCACTGTTGGTTCATGGGCTTTACCCGCGCCAGTGGTTGCTGCCCCTGCTGATTGACCAGATGTATCTGTTGCTGCTGTTGTTTGGGCATCGAATGCAGAAGCCGCAACTCGCAGAAGAGCGGAACTGTTTCCGCGCTTCCGCGCCCTTGCTAGCAGCTGCAGTCCAGTGTGATCACCTTGAGGTACGAACTCTAGGTAAGCTACCTCGCCGGAAAAACCCTCCGTTACAATGCAGCTTACGGGTTGCTCTTGCTGCTGGTGTGGCTGCAGCAGCTGCTGCTGCGGATTATGCTGCTTCGGTGTGTAGGAATTTGAAGGGCTGTCTAGGCCGCTGTCACTGCTGCTGCTAGAAGACAAACAAACTGACAAGGNGCTGGAATCCCAACCGAAGCAACGCTTCTGCTGCCTCCAATGCTCTTAATAGACAGGTTTTGGTCATAGGGGAAATGACGAAGCTGTGCGCTGTCAGTGCAATCAGCAGCTTCTGCGTGGGTCCCTGTGGGCCTCCCGCGGGGGTTCCCCTGACTGTGCTGTTCTGCAGCAGGTGGCTTCCAGTGAGTTCGGGCTGCTTCAACTGCTGCTTCTGCTGCTGCGACTGCTGCTTCGGCCTGCTGTTGCAGCTGGCGAGAGTGGAAAGGCAAGAGACTCTCCTGGGTAGCGAGTCGATCGGCCCCACCGGCAGAGGCGACGGTGCTGCTGGAGCGCTGCCTCTCGGCTTCATCTTGAGCCAAAGACGAGAGCTTCAAGCTGGAAGGGTCTTCTGCATCCATTTTAGATCTCTTATATCGATACGGTGGGTCTGGGTATCAAAATTGCCCTTGCGGCCCGATCCTGACAAACGAGAAGGCGTCACGTCGAAGAAGTAAAGGCAGAAACACCTACGGCGACAACAGCAGCAGCAGCCATTGCCACCGAGTACGCTGCTGCGAATCCAAAGAAAGCAAATGTCAAACGCGGCAAGCGGCTGCTGAAAAGAGATCAGACGGCAGTCTGTTTCAGCCGTTGCGCCGCGTGGCGTTTCAGACCATCCGACCAGCTTGGAATGGAGCAAGAACAGCCGTCAGCCAATATACGAGAGACTAAGGATCCAATTAAAAGCAAACTGTCGGCCCGACTAACTGCTCTTCGACCTTGTGTGCGGTTGCTGTCCAATGGGACGCCAGCTGGGGCTGCTTAGGTCTGTGGTAAGGACAAGCCAGGGTTCCGTTCCAGTCCAACTTGTCTAAGCAGGTCCGGGCTTTTCGATGCGGCTCTTCAGTGAGACTCGTTGTGATGGATCTTCACTGAGATACGCCAATCTTAGCGTTCGAGTGTAGGCAGGAAATTGAGTCGACGACTGCCGCAGCAAGTGTGCAGAAGGACGGGAGACTCAATGCAACCAAGCAAGAGGGCGGGTTGAGGCCGGAACAAGCACAGAAACTTGACCCAAAGATTAAAAATATTTTTGCTTTACACAGAAACACAAATTTCAGGTTGAAATGCTATGTTTCATCGCACGCGAAGTCTCAGCTCCAGTGAACAACCAGCAGTCGGCTGCAGCCGGCAATGACCGCGCCTCTTTCGACCAATGAAATAACCCAAGTTTATCCCTCCACCTCCGAAAATCCACGATTTACTGTATTTTTAAGGCTTTACACAGCCAAGCAGACCCGCGAAAGACATCGATTCCCTTCTACTGAAATCCGTCGTGAGGAGGCCCCCTCTACGGGCAANAGCAGACCCGCGAAAGACATCGATTCCCTTCTACTGAAATCCGTCGTGAGGAGGCCCCCTCTACGGGCAACGCAGGTCCTGTAGCAGATCTGTACCTACGCGGCTGTTTCTCGCCAGTATACTTTCTGACTGTCCAAATCGCTGAAATTTGTAGTACACCTGTATATTTAAAATTGTGTGATTCTTCGAAATATTGTAAACATAAAAGAATTACGGCCGCGTCTGAAAACGCATCCCACTGCGTCCAGAAACGCCCCCCCCCGCAGGCGCCAAAGCTGCCGTCTCACACTTCACAAGCTGTATCCAACTTTCCTAGTACTAGAATCTCGAAATAAACTCCTATCATTCCCCAAATGCAGTTCAGGCATGCCATGTAGTGCCATTTTTGTTCAACCGGGAGGAATATCTCTGCGCTGTCGCGGGGTTGGTGTAGTGGTTATCACGTCTGCTTTACACGCAGAAGGCCGCGGGTTCAAACCCCGCACCCCGTAGATTCCCTCGTGGTTTTGCTTTTTAGGAGCATCCTATTTGCTCTCTGCGTGTGTAGGGTTTCACACCTTAGCCCCCCAATATCCTTTTGCATTTCTGCTAATCCGAAATGGGCTGTTCCTCTGAATCCCACCCTTGTGAGTCCCAGATACTCGTTACTCTTGATAATGCTCGCAGAAACAAGTTGCACTAAAATAGAACAACTAGCGATTTGCAAGCCCCGGACAGGGGAGTCAGGAACGCGGGAATCAGACCCGTAGACGCATGTTTAGCACACACGCCAAGGGGCTTCGCACAGATCTGATGTGCTCCAGTTTCCCTCAGTGGCTCATGCCCTGCTTCACCGAGTTAGTGACTGCTGCTAAAAGTACTGCCCCTATATTTGATTTTGTAGTGACAGTTGCCGGCGTTGCAACACTTGCATTTTCTCCACCAAGCGTGAAGACTAAATTCAACTAAAAGCTTCAAACCCCAAAATTCTTCATCATTCAACTATACAAAATCAGAAACAATGTGCCAGCGACTTTTGAACCTTGTAATTCTACGACGATGGCACATATCGATGGCGTTTCCACTCGCGACTGCGGGGCGGCAGGCTGGGTTTCTTCCATTTTTGCCGCATTAGCTACAAGGAGGGAACCGTATCGAGCTAGGCAACTAGACTGAAGTGAACTCACGACGTTGCATGTTGTGTCCCCTCTGCAAGTACGCAGCGTTTAGGTAAAGTTCCTCTGAATTCTGTGCACCGGTGAAAAGAATAAGAATCCTGCCTGCGATGGAGTTATTCGCCATTCTCTTGCCTGTCTCTAGTACAGGAGATGCCAATAGAAACTGTAACTATTCGGGTGCATTTTGGAGATGAAACTACAACTCGAAACACNTACAGGAGATGCCAATAGAAACTGTAACTATTCGGGTGCATTTTGGAGATGAAACTACAACTCGAAACACACAAGGGACTCCTCTACTGCCCTTGCATTGAGGGGCTGGTCACATCTGGTCGGTTGGCACAGGCCGAAGGAGTTTCTCTGTCAAGGCGTTTTCTGCTGGATGGGAAGTAGGTGCTGCGCTTGTTCTAATACATGGCACCCAGCCGTTATTTTTATCCCCACAGGAGTTCAGATCCTGATCACTATTCATAATGCAAGATGAGAGAAAGAGAACCTCGAGAAAACTTTTATTCATTTTCTTTGCGCCTCCGTTACTAAGCGATTCCATACAGCGGGGTGCCTATCTTTGCGGGTGGGATTCGCTGCCGTCACGCATCCCTCGGAGCAATGAGGTGTCACGAAATATAGCGAGGCCACGCAATCTTTGCTGAAGACACTTTGCGGGCTACAATAGAGACAAAGGCTCCAGGTAGGAGTTCACCGAAGGCAGCTGACCTCCTCTTCAGTCTCCAAAAGCCCTGAGCATAGCGGAATACAGGTCGTGTAATGNACCGAAGGCAGCTGACCTCCTCTTCAGTCTCCAAAAGCCCTGAGCATAGCGGAATACAGGTCGTGTAATGGTGCAGAAAGTAACCGGCCTTTCGTGTGTTCCGACGTACCTTGCTGCAACTCCTGCTTTAGGGCAACCGCGCATGCACGTGCACCCAAGTTACACTTTGATGCATCAACTACTATTGTAGAGAAAAACCAAACAGTTGCTTTGCTGTCAGTAGCTGGTCTGCTCGTATTTGCCAGTCTGCACGCTAGTACAGATAAACGTTGCAACTCAGACACACACTGCTACTCAAACCATGTTGCAAAGGCAAACCCACATGCGATATGCTCAGGCTCCCTTTTGATGCATGACCTAACACTGTAGACAATTCTAAAGCATTTACGCGGCCATCAGCGGCGCGCCTACACGTATGTGGAAATACATGCGCCAGCTCCGCCATGCTATACATATCATGCTACAACCGACGAGTTAGTATTTATTCGCGCCAAGGAGTTTGCACTCGTCGCCACGTGTATACAAGGATGATAACATCCATATGGAACATCTGTTTCCAAATATGAGCTATACTTAAGAATACGTGTCAACATCTGGAAATTTACGTACGTGACCGGTGTACTTACATGCGCATTGAAACGCTAAAAACCGGAAGGAAAACCCGCATAAGCGAGAGTAAGAAAAATGAATTGAATAGGCGAAAACCAGGCGGAATGAGATAACTAAGTATTACCAACTTCCTTCTAGTAGCCTTGTCGGCACTCACCTCATCACGGGCTGAGCCAGCGCCTCGCAGGTAACAGTTTTGAGGGCT